GGCAGGCAGGCAGGGTCAGTCAAAGCCATTCTGCTGCCTGGGGCAAAGAACAAGACAGTGCCCGCTCCCACTTCCACATGCAGAAGCTAACTAGGCTGGCAGTGGAGTCTTGCTTCACAGGACAGTGTGTCCCACTGGAGCGTCACAACAGGCCACAGGCCACTCCCTGCCTCCCAGCAAATGTTCCTTGAAGTGGCTGCCTCCCTCTGCCCCTGGGGAAGAGGGCAGGTTGCAGGCCAGATGCAAAGGTGCTACAGGCCCATGGGCTGGTGATTCCTCACCCATGATGTAGTCAATTACACGGGCCAATGGTCTGGCGCAGCATAAGGTTTCTTCCAGCTGTGTAGTTCTTGCCATAAATGGAACTGTGCTTCTTAATGAGATATCTTGGAAACAGCCTCCTTGGCATATGTACTAAAAAGGACTTCAAGAAGTTGGGCATATCTTAATCCTAGGGCACACTGTGAGAAGCAGAACCTGGATAGCTCAGCTGGTTAGAGCACGGTGCTGAGAATGCCAAGGTAGCAGGTTCTATCCCACCCAAAGGACAGATGTTTCAGTAAACAACCCTGAGGAGCTGAACCAAGCAGAGTAAGGAACCTTGGGGGCTAATAACAAGGGGCAAGAATAATAAGGGGAAAGGACTCACACAATCAGACTAGTGTGTTGCCTGCAGAGGCCATGCATGCATTTACAGGTAAAGCAAAAGCAGAGACTTCGAAGCCAGAAAAAGGTGCCTCAGATGTGCTGTGCTGATGCATCTTGAAAATGTGGTTTGTGAGAGGCAACTAGTGTTCTCTCTACCCCTCACTTCTGCCTCCTGGGAGGCCCCCTGATCCACATATACCACCACTGCTATATTTATTTGCATAGAGGCTTGCCCATGTCCCTGTATCTAAAAGAACTGGGTGCAAAGGTGATAACGACCCAGAAGGATGTCGCTGCTGCCTGTAGGCAGCGAGGGAGGAAGCCAGCCAGAAGATGTTTTGTGGAGTTTGACCGTCTCAAACAGATTTAAGGACAGGTTTGGGCTCTGCTGAAAACTGGGGGGGGGGGGGGGGCGGCGCGTGTGCTTGTGGAGCAACTTGTACGGTTGTTGCAAATCTGCAAGGAGTGATAAGTTCTGCAGCGTCGGTTCCCAAAGAAGAGGAGAGCAGGGTGGGAGGGGAGAAGAGGAAGAAGAAAAACATCTCCGGTGTTTTCACCGATGGAAGAAGACGACACCCTCTCCGGCCCAGTCGAAATGCTGTTTCTCTCCCCACTGTGGCTCCTACAGCAATTCCTAAACCTAAACACAAGAAAGTCAGGCAGGCGAAGCCGGCGCTTCTCTCCTTAGCCTAGCCTATCATTGCTGCGCACAGTCCTTCCCTCCCTCTTTTCCCAACACCCGCAAGCTGCTCGCCTGCAGCTCCAACAATGCAAGGAAAAAAAGGACAAGAATGGCAGAGGAGGAAATGAGCCACAGCTGGGCGATTCTGAATCTCTCGGTCTTCCTTATTCCAGCGGGGCTGGAGGCGGGGGTTTGGGGGTGGGGGGTGGGGATCAATGCTCAGAAATGTACAATTACGACCAAGCTGCAGCAGGACCATGTAAGGACTGCATACACAGAGCAGCAAACGGGTTTCTCTCTCCCTCTCTCTAACCAAGCCATTCAAGCAACAGATAGAGGTTTACCTTCAAAATGCAGGCCATGTTCTTCCCTAGCCTTCCTCAGCCCGCAAAGCAGAAGGAGATCTGCTTTGTGAGTAACAGATCCAGTCTGAGGCAGGAGGTTGGCCGGAGAGCTGCGGAGAGGTGCCCGTGGCTACATTCCTGGAGATCCAGAGAAGGAGCCACAATTCTTAAGATCCGTTAGTCATGTTAGTCTTTTCATGCCCTGTTTGTTCCACCCATCAGCTTCTGCCACTGGCTGCAAGCCAGCCCAGTACCTCCCCTCCGTCACATGACTGAGTTTGATTCATGGCTCTAGCTGGGGGATTTTATTTTTTTCAATTTAAGAGGGAAAAGCTCAGTTGGATGCTCTCTCTGCCTTTACGGTATGCGAAAGCAAATCTGCACTGTGCAGATGTTCTGGGTTTTAGAGAGTTGCTCATTAAATTATCTTTCCGATCATTCCAGTATTTTTTTTTAAAAGGAACATTTCTCCGCTGCGTTGGTCAGTTTCCAGCACAAGAGTGTTTCCCAGTAGTTGAGGGGTCACACACGCAGACACAAACACACACATACACAAATCAGTCATCTGCAAACATTTATTAAATGCCACGCTGCAGTCTTTCCTCGTCTGGAGAACAAACTTTCCTTTGTCTGAAAGTCCTGCAGAACTGCCTGCGGTAGAAAGAGGCTCACTCAGTCCTGACTCACACACACACACACACACACACACACACACACACACACACACACACACACACACACACACACGCCGGATCGCTTTGCCCTGAGTGTGTCTCCTTATATGCTGCTGTTCTTACCGGAAAGAATACGTATGTAAATTCCATTCCATTTGTTTCCAGGAAGCTCGGAACCTATCCTTGGAAAATATATGGATAACTAAATGTAATTTATGGATAAATGGAATAAATAAATGGAATTCGTTTCCCAATGATAGGTTCTGAGCTTCCTGGAAAGGCAACGAAAGTGAAACGAAAGTTATTCCATGATTTGCTTATCTTATCACCTGGCATTTAGGGTGAATCCAAACTGCTGTCTGCTCCACAAGACTCTTTAAAAGAAAAAAAATGTTCGTTATTCGAGTCCTTTCTGTATTTGAAAATGCTCTAGGGAGACTTTTGCTGGGGGTGTCACACAGCTATGTGCTACCAGTGAGAAACAGCCTTGTGGGAGAAACATCCAAGCGAAGTCTCTCACGTAGAAAAACTTTATTATTTATTAAATTCGGATACCACCCTCCGTAGATCACAGGGCAGTTCACAGCATATAAATGCAAGTTAAAAAACAAACCAGAACATAGTGGGTAGGTTCCAATTCAAAGCAGAACTCCGGTGCTGCCCAAAGGATTGGGAATCCTTGGAGTTCCTCCCCACATACATACACTTTTGAACTGCAGAGACACACACATGCCCCCCCCAACTGGTTTTTTTGCCGTTCTTTTTATTTATTCATATACATAAGAGTACATATCCTGTGCTCTCAGAAAATGTCATTGCGGCGAACGTCAATATAAAAATCATTGAAAACATTACAGATTATCAAGAACCATGAGCCCAAAGCATCCTCTCTGATGCACAGAACTGGTCACATAGTTTTTCAGGCGCTAGTCACTATCTGGCTTTTCAAAAATAGAACTTGTCTTTGTTACTTATTTAATAAAATAGTTCACATGGCGCCTTTCATTTCAAGAAGAAATGCCAAGGCGGTTCACAAGCAACATCATGCAGTAAAATCAACTCATTTGTCTATTATTATTATTATTATTTAAAGTTCAAATATCCACCCTGAATAAAATAATGTTACAAATTTAGTCTCACTAACCAGAAAAAGCGGAACTGGGTATTAATGGCCATAGCAATTCCCAGGTAAACAGGTACATTTTCAATGGGGGTGGGGTTTCCACAGTCATAACCTGCCTGATGTCCGGGGGGTGATCATTGCAAAAAGTAGGTGCCACCGCAGAGAAGGCTCCATGGAGTAGGCCATGGCACAATGGTGCTCTTTCAGATAACCAAGTCCTGAAATGTCTAAGACATAGTAAACAAGCACTAAGACCTTTAACTTGGCTCAGTTGCTGGCTAACCAGCTGCCAGTGCAAACTCTTTCAGCGCAGATGTAACATGTTCATGGTAGAAAGCCTCACTGAGCAACTTAGCAGCCACCTTCTGCTTCAGCTACAGATCTGAATCTACTCTTAAGGGCAACCTCACATAAACTCTTTTTTAAAAAAGGCATCCTAAAACAGACAAAATGTTCTAAAAACAGTTACAGTTAGAAACATTATTTCATTCAGTGATCTCATAGTTGCCGGGAACAGTATTCTTCAGCTGCCAAATGCCTGGGTAAAAACGTAAATGTTTCAAAATTCCTCCTGAAATTTCATAATGCTAGAGACAAGCGCACCTCACTATGGAGGGCAACCCAGGAACAATAAACAAGAGCAGAAAAGGCCTGTCATGAGTCAACACCAACCAGGCGTCCCCTAGTGGTGGCACCACCAACAAAGTCTCAGTGCAAATGTTTCTAACATATGGATAATAAATGACGTCATGGGTGCTGATAATTGTAGCTTTGCAAACCACAGTGCCCAAAATCTGATGGAGCTTTAGATGTGCTTTATATGTATGGTGTTTACCCTGCCAGAACAGGAGGTCAGGCTTCCTGTTGGATCATTGACCCAATCTAGGAGGTTCTCCTTATCTTCTTAACATGCTGTGTGGGCCACACATCTGTATTCTAACTGTAATTTTGTTTGTGGTGACTTCTGAATCAGAGTGACTTCCGTAAACCAGGCTAAAATTCTAGTACTTACACATTGCAAGACAAAAAACAAAAAAACCCAAGCAAACTTTAATCTCTGGCTAGGAAGCCTGCCCAGGAAGCTACCCAGTTACCGTTAATCTGTTTTTCAGGGATGGTGGTGCTGAAACAATATAAGAACAAACAGTGATAAAGACTTCCGGGGTGGCGCCTCCGGAAAATGGCGGAATTCCCTTCGGACTGAAGGGAACCCGCTGCACGGAGGCTTGGGTCCTGCCGCTACGGCGCAGCGGGGACCCGCAAAAACCACAGGCGGAAGAAGCCTGTGGACGAGGCAGAGGATACTGCTCACCTTTGATTCTAAAAAGCTTCCAACTTATATGATGTCCTTACGAAGCTACCTGACTAATTATAGAATTTTTATCACAAGAGTTTTTATCAACACTAAGATTTGCCCTCTTATTCCCTACTCTCCAGTTAAAAGGAAAGCAATTAAAAATGAGGGCATTCCATCTACTACGAGCTCTACCTCTCCACCCTCAGACTTAATTAGTTGGACAGAGACCCCCATGCCCCTCCTATCAAAGGCTACTCATCTTGAGAATTCGATGGAGCAGGAATTACTTGTCTCCTTCTCCCATCTGCCAAAAGCCGAACAAACAGAGATAACGGACAGACTAGATGAGTTATTACTCTATCTCCGCAACTTTGAAGATCTAGCGCCCATAAAAGAGGCAAATATTCCACCTAACTTGGAGCGAAAAATGGGTCATGAATCTCCTCAGGTCACGGCAGAACACACACCTCTACTCTGCCCATCTGAAATCCACGCCGAAATCTCTGTGGCGCCCCTAATCACATTACCGGAGACTCAACCATCCAATGGTTGCATCTTCCACGACCCCGGGAAAACACTAGATGCTATTGAAGAGACAAAATGACTCTCACCCCTACTACTATCCTGGAACGTTGCTGGATGGCAATCGAAAACAAGGGACAAAGACGTTTTAACCTACGTATCACAGTTCAAGATCATCCTGCTCCAAGAAACCTGGATGCAAAATCCTTTCGAACTACACAATTACTTTGCTTTCCATTCCCCTGCCTCAATCGGCCCAAAAGGCGGAAGACCGGCGGGAGGTTTGAGCACCTTCGTATCGACAGATCTAGGAGCCTCCCTATCCAATTGAAAATCGATAAAAATGGATTTTGGCCGTTAAAATATTCTCCACCCATTTTAAGATCATATGCATCAATGTTTATATTCACCCACTTATGAAACAAACTGATCTTAAAAACATCTGGAACGAACTGGAAGACTGCATTCTCCTTGTCTCAAATAAGTTTCCCTCTGCCTCCTTAATTATTGGTGGGGATTTTAATGCAAGGCTAGGCCACTCAGACGAACAGTTAATCAAGGAAAGTGGAATGGGTCCCCTAAATGCTAATGATGAATATTGGCCCCTATTCAGGCGTCACTCACTTGACCCAGTCACCAATTTTGCTGGTACATGTCTTTTTTTTAATGGCACTTAGATTAAACCTTGTTATTTTAAACGGCCTCTCCTCGGGGGACTGCCCTGGCCAATTTACTTACTGGTCAGGCCTAAGGCATTCTGTTATTGACTACATCCTTGTCTCCCAAGAACTTTTCGATGAATATATTGAATTTACTGTAGATATAAGAACCGAAAGTGACCATTTACCCCTAAATCTTAAAAGGACTGAATTTTGGGAACCCTCTAGATGTGGGCTTGCCCCGCAGACTCCTGATCCTAGCGCTTTACAACAAATAGGTAGATCCAGAATTAAATGGTCCCCTTATGTTAATAACCATTTTGGTATTTGGACACAATCAATGGAAGGTCAACTCCTCTGGGCTGATCTGACTTCCAACGACACTGAAGAGACCTCCCCAATTGACCATTATAACACATTAATCCGAAAACTCCAACCGTTATTGTCAAGACCCAGAAGATCTAACCAAAATGACTCCCCTACCAACAAAAAATGGTTTGACCACGAATGCACTCAGGCAAAACTCATACTCAGGGAATGCTTTAAGGTCTTCCAGCAAAATCCTAACCCTATCACTAAATTGGAGTTACAACTTAAAAAAAAGAACTACAAAGAGTTATTAAAAACCAAAAAAAGAACCGCAGACTCTCTCATCTGGCAGGCCCTCATAAAAGCGTCAATAGAAAAAGACAATTCTAATTTCTGGAAAATTATCTCCAGTCAAACCAAAGCTCCTAATGAGGGCACAATAATCCCTGCAAATTCATGGGAAGAGCACTATAAAGTGCTGTTTAGGGAAGATCGTCCTTCTGCGCCGCTTAACATCCCCTTAGATAATGATACACCATGGCCCCCAACATCTGAAACTGAAATCGCTTCGCTAATTCTACAAATGAAATCTGGCAAAGCCCCAGGAAGTGATTTCATTGTCGCTGAACTTTTGAAAGCGCAAATAAACTGGTGGGCCCCGGTCCTTGCAAATCTATTTTCATATATAGACAAGACAACTGAAATCCCTAAAGATTGGGGACTAGCTATAATTGTTCCCATATTTAAAAAGGGCAACCCCTCTGATCCATCTAATTATAGACCAATTAGTCTCCTGAATGTGATCTGTAAACTTTATACAAAACATCTATGCCTAAAATTATGGGAATGGTTAGATCATAACAACTTGCTAGAAATTGAACAAGCAGGGTTTACATCCGGACGTTCCACCATTGATCACTGCTTGGTGTTAGATTACTTTGTCTATAAGTATGCGAAATATTGGAAAAAGTCATTATATGCGGCCTTTGTGGACCTAAAGGCAGCATTTGATTCTGTATCTAGGAGCAGGCTCTGGGCCAAATTGGCCAATATGGGTATTAACAGAAGGTTATTACTTCTGATGATTAAGCTTCATGAGAACAATACCCTCCAGATAAGACTTGCACAGGACGGCAGACTCTCTAGAGAAATCCCAGTCCAAAGAGGAGTTAGACAAGGATGCCTATTAGCCCCATTCCTATTTAACATCTATGTTAACTCCCTGGTCACATGCTGCCGTGAAATTGAAACCCACCCCCCTGTGTTCTCTAATGGCAGAAAAGTACCAATTTTAATGTATGCGGATGACGCTGTTCTTCTCTCTCAAACCAAAGTGGGTCTGAAACGTGCCTTAGGAAAGTTTAGTGACCAATGTAACACTGAACTGCTAACAATTAACTTTGCCAAAACCAAAATTGTACATTTTAACCGCTCCTTCAGGAAGGATAATTGGAGCGTAAAGGGAAACGCCATTGAACAGACTAAGACCTTCCAATATTTAGGCATTACTTTCTCTTATAATGCCAAATTCTCAGCACACTTGACCACATCAGCTATATCAGCAGAAAGAAGTGCAAATGCTATCCTTAGATTATTCAGAAGGAAAGGAGCTGGCTTCCTCCCGATGGCCCTAACAGTCTTTCAGGCAAAATCTTTAGCCCAACTTCTATATGGCTCTCAAATTAGCCCCTCTGCCAACCTTAAGACCCTTGAAACAGTACAATCTAAATTCTTAAGATCATTATTTGCTACCCCTAAGTGTACACCTAATGCAGTCTTAAGGCAAGAGGCAGGACTGCCCAGAGTGGAATTAAAAGTCTGGGAACAAGCAATATCCCTCTGGCTGAAAATCCATTACAATCCTAAGGGTCTATTACCTTGCTTCCTGGCCGCAGTTCCCTATCCTCCTTGGCTTATGCAAATAACTAACAAGATCAAACAAATTGGCCTAAACCCTGAAAATATTTTTATTGGAACTCTGAACAAGGCAAAAGCTACTATTACTCGGAGACTTTATGATATCGAATTACAACAAGAAGGCGCCCTACTCCCAGAGACGTATAGATGTTTAAAAGCTTGGCCTAATTTTACAGCTGCCCCTTACTTAACCAACATCACTAGCGAAGCCTATAGATGGGCTTTCTCTAGAGCCCGCTTTGAGACAATGCCCTCAGCAGTGCTGTACGGCAAATTCACGCGGGTTCCAATGCATGCGCGTCTCTGCCCTTGTATGTCTAATAAGGTAGAATCTGTCACACACATTCTTCTATCTTGCGAATTCTATAGTGAAGAACGAGCTCAACTTATTTTACCGCTTCTATCAAAATTTATACCCCTTCAATATTATTTGGAATCCTCCCCTGAAATTCTTCGAAAATACCTCCTGGAAGATTCCTCAAGCTCAGTATCATATGAGGTGGCTAAATTTTGCACTTTAGTAATTAAGAAACGTAAATCTCTTCTGTTGAATGGCACACTGCGAAGTTCCCTTGTGTAACCTTTTTTCTTTTCTGAAGTTGTTGCTGATTTCTTGTTGTCTGATCTTGGGATGTTTAGTGTCACTGGCTTTGGCCGCAATAAACTTGAACTTGAACTTGAAGCCTGTGGACGTGGGACTCGGCGGGCACCGAGAGCGCTCTCTCCCCTTGTACAGGAGCCCGGTAACGGGCTCCGGAGTGGGAGGTGCGTGGTGCTGTGAGTCGTCTGCTTCCTCCGTGCAGCAAAGCCGCACTGCCGTTATCGGAGAGCGCTGCCTTTTTCCTGGACAATTTGGCATCTAAAATATCTATCCGTGAGTACCTGATCTTGGAAGAGTTGAACCACTTTTAAGACTGGTGAATAAACAAATAATATTGGACTTGAAATTGAACTTAATTGGGACTCGGAATGGGAAGGTCTAAACAGGAAGTCGCCTTCCGTTCTTTTGTTATGTGAAGAAAGCAAAGACAAAATATACTAAAGCTTGAAAATTAAATTCTAAGAGAACTAGAATTCAACATCTAAGATTTCTGAACCCCCTTTGACTGCAGGAGAAGAAGGGGTTGTATTTGGACTTTTCAATCCTGCGGAAGTGAGTTTAAAATAAAGCAATTTTCCACCGCCCTGAACCAGGAGCGGGCTGTCAGAATTGACGTTCTGAAGTTTATCCAGCTCGACAGTTAGTTAAAAGAAGGGTAACATTTTGATTCTACTGTTGCCTCTTGAATTTGGAAGGGGAATTTTGGATAAAGTGTTTCTGGAAAAAGAAAGATTGTTGCTGTTGCTTTTATTCCTTTAAAAAAAAAAAATTCCATCTAGTGGAATTTAGTGAAATTGCAACGCAGAGAGATTAAAAGAGAAGGACTATTGGACTATTCTCGTGGGAAAGAATTTTCTTTGACCTTGAAGGACAATGCTAGTACAAAGGCTTGAACAATTGTTCCTGGAAGGTTTTTCAAAACTAAGTGCCCAGCTGGACCAGATGCGTCAGGAGACGACCTTGATGATGGAAGTTACCAGAGCACAGCAGCAAATAAATGAAATTCAGTTAAAGGCTATACAAGCATATGAACCTGCTGTAGTGACGGAGGCTTCAGAGATGGAGGGACCTTTGGACGGGCAAGATCAGCCTTTGAACTTGATAAATGAACTTGGGACAAACCAGATTCGGAAAGATGAAATGTGGTCAGATTTGGAAATGGGGGATGGATCGACCCCCTCCATATGGTTATTTGGACCTTCCGAGTCTGGTGATGGGCTATCAGAGGATTGGAGTAGCCGAAGTCTCCAAGCTTTGTGGAAATTTGAAGTGGTATTATTTGCTGTCTGGCTTGGGCAATGGGTTTGGGATGGACTTGCTGCAAAGGGTCAAAAGCATTTTCTTGCTGGAGCATCCACGACTGGAAAGGAATCATCAACAAGAGTGGCGAAAGGGGCAAGAAAGAGACTTGAGGGCCTCGGATACGAGACAACCAGGTTAAGGAGCCGGATTATCGAGGTTAAAAGGACTGACAATCCCGGGTCCAGGGGAGGGAGGTTGGAAGCTGACTGGACTGAATTTGACTTATTATTTTTCTTTTTTATTTTTTAATATTGGGAATGCTTACAAATGTTTGAAGGATGTTGAATGAAATTA